CTGACTTGAAACCATCAAATAATTGTTTGGGTAATTTTGGAAAATTTTCACTTCCATACATTTCCAGGGTCGTTCTTTTTTGTGCGTTTTTATAGACCTCGACATCGTCTCGGTCCATAAAAACGCAAAGATGAACTCGGTTAATATCCAACCATCTTGACCTCACGCTTGATCAATAAGGTATATTTATTATGTGGCTTTGGCTTGTGCCTGATATAACGCGCGCTCTGATTGGCTAAGAGCGAAATCAGCGTAAGGCCGATTATGGATTATTCAAATCAGAAAGAGTACAACATGACAGAATAGTACCGCGGCATGAAAACGATGAAGGCCGATTAACAGTCAGAGAGAGAATAATCAATTGAATACAAGCAGCTAAAATTCTAGAAGAACAACGAAGATGCAGTTTTTAAATTACCAATGAGAATGTGCTGGAACGGGCGAGGTTAACAAACAAGAATTGAAAGAATAATTTCAAGTTCACATCTAATACAGGAAACCGTAACAAATTTGCATCGGAAAGCTGTCATTGACATGATAACGTTTCAACGAAATTTCCTAAATTAATTTTGCAAAGAGGCCGTTTTTTTACTTACCAGATAACCAGCCTGTAACCTTGAAGGGCACAACTGAAGAAGAATCCCAGGCAAAGTTTGCCGTGTTGTATATGTAAATCGCTAATCACCGTCGGTAGATCTGTTATGCATCCTTAGCAGTACACCACAAAAAAAAAAAAAAAAACCAAGGCGAAGATTGTAGTATTCTGAACGGTGAATTTCGAAGCATTCGCATTTTCTTTCAGCGAGAGGCCGGACCTGTTTGATCTATTTTGAGGCGCTTTTCTGTCTTTTCTACATGCACTTCAGTTGACGTTTTGCCTAGAAAATCGAACAAACTTCCTCTCAACAAGTTGTGACACCACCATCCTGAAATAAGTTCCTAAGGCGCTGAGAATCATTTTCCTAAAAATTGCTTTACTTCACTGATTGCGCCGGCAGTTTTATCGTGGGTTTGAGTTGATGAATAACGGATGTCAATTGACGACATTCGGTTGAATAAGTTTTTCTTTCTTCAGCCTGTGAGCCATATAGGGAACAACTTAATAACCTCGACCGTTTAAACCTCGGTAACGACCTCACTCTTGATTATTAAGTGGTTAGTGTAGACTTATTCTACGCTGGAGATTCTTGATTTTTTTATCTATCCATTATACATGTTCAAAGGAAGGAAAGTACGAAAATTGCTCTTATTTTCAAGAATCTGCACTTAATAATTCTACTGACAACAATCATTCACTTGACTCTGATGATGACTTCCGCACAGGTTGTCGAAACGTCAGTCACTACCACCGACAACAGTCCTTCTCAGGACTACACTCACCCGGACGATCAGACGACACCTTCACATGTTACCCCCGGGTTCAAGCCATTTACTGCAATCTGCACTATGACAAGTGCTTTCCATCTGCTGAAGTTTCAAGTGAATAATGTGCGAATAGTCAGACATTTCTTGTATTCCACATATAAGGCAGCTGATGCTTATTTACTTGACATACTTACTAGAATAACAGGGGACCAATGTGATATGGCTTTATATGTTTTTCGACGCTATGCTCTTATTGAGTAATTATCGAAATAATGCGATACCTCTTGATACGCAATACTTGAATCATGGCCGTAGAAATGCACCTTGCACATTTGCACGCCCAATATACTCTATAATTTGAATATATCAACAAAGTTGAAATGGTAAATTGGCCACCGTTACGATTATAAAAGCTGACGTTTCTAGCGTTTGCCCTTCGTCGGAGCGAAGCCATTTCGCTCCGACGAAGGACTCATGCTCGAAACGTCAGCTTTTATAATCGTAACGGTGGCCAATTTACCATTTCAACTTTGTTGATATATTCAAATTATTTCGTTACCCTCACCGACGCAGCACCAAACAGTTTCTTTAGAAACTATCAGCCAATATACTCTATATATAGTTTAATTCCGGCGCCATGCACGTGAACTTCCAATGGTAAACATGCTTAGACGTCGATGAATAGTAACTGGCAAGTCTTTCCTTAACATTTGAGTAAATAATTCTGCATACAACTGGTTACATGGGAAATCATGCCTCGAGCTCCAAAGGCAAAGTGACGTAATGGAGGCAGAAACTCAACCGGACCGCTAGCTGGTCAATAAGATCATAGGGTTACCATCTTAAATATCCATTTTTGAGTTTTTTTTTTTTTATTGAGTTATTTTTGAGTTATTTTTTTATTGAGTTATTTTTTTATTGAGTTATTTTTTTAAAAAAAATAACTATATGTTAGCGTATAGATTGGTGTATTGTGGTGTAGTGTAATCTGATCAGCGCAATTTGGTGTATCTCTAAGCAATCTGATTGGCGCATCTTTTTTTTGGTGTATCTCAACGCAATGTGATTGGCCCAATTTTTTGGTGTATCACAAACCAATCAGATTGTAGTATTTTTCGATGTCGCACCAATCAGAGCGTTCTTGCTAATTTGTGGTTTGACAGGTCTTCAAATTTCAGCGAATCAACGCTTGAGTCGGAGAGAGCGGTTCGCGAATTAAGGAAATGTNTGTAACAAGCTTATCGTTGATGCGCGGCCAGTACTTCAAATCTGACTGACACTCGATGTCAAAACTCAACCTCGTTCCCTGGATATGCCACCACATTACTTTACGCCAATTAAAAACTGCACGTTACTGTGCATTTTCTTGCACAGGAAAAACCAAACAGAATTTCTGATTCTGGCCCTTAATGGTCAGAATAATAACTAGGACTTTGTCTCTGACGAAGGAACGGCAATAAGCACAATTTTAACCTACTAGCAGGTTGTTGTTTAGTCTCGTCATGAGAGATAGCGTTGCGTGACAAGTTCAAATTAGGGCTGTGGAGGGGACTGCAGGAAGCGTTGTACCAATGCAGTTTATTTTTGCCAACAATTATTCAGACACCAGCATCAGTTATATAGTGTCCCATTTCAACCTACGTATCCAAAAAAATAACTCCTGCATGCGTAGCATGCCTATGTTTTTACTTAGGAAACCCATCAAGGCTTAGTATCAAAAACTTCATTAATAAAGGTCTTTTTACTTGCCTGAAATGTTGTTTACGTAGTTTTTGCCCTAAAATTAGGGATTTCAAGCCATTTGAAAAATTCATTCATAACTTAGGAACTCACTAACGATCCTGCCTGATTTTTGCGTTTGAATCACGTCCCATCGCTTTCTCATTCGTCAAGGCAATGGAGTGATATATTTCCAGCTGTGAAAACCAAACGTTGTATCGAGATGTACTCTAGCGAAGGCTTGCGAGATCGATAAAGATCCAGCAATCCGGAAAAACAACATGGTCGTTAAATTTCGTGGAAAGCAAAACTTGATCTCCGATCACCTTGAAGGCCTGGACACCAGTAACAAAATCTTTCGTACCGGGGATGTGACTGGCCCAGTTATTCAACTTAAACAATTTGCGACGAACAAGCAGCGAAGTTGTATGCAAAACCCGTTGTGTTAAGCTGTTGTCACAACGTAAATTTAAAATTTCTTAATTAATTGATAAGAAAATCAAACTCAAATTCAAGTCCCAATATTCAGCTTCGAATTCTAAAGCCTTGCATTTGGTTTAAGCTAGGACACATGGCGTGTTTATAATGAAGAAATCTCAGTTTTATTATTATTATTATTATCATTATTATTATTATTATTATTATTATTATTATTATTATTATTATGAAGTCAAGTACTTTATAACCAATGGAAATTTACCCCCCTATCCAACTCGACATTCGCACCAATTGCTAATTATATCGAACAGCACAAATTACCTATGAGCAGCGAAGGTTCCAGTTTGCTTCTTAGCCTGAATCGATCTTCTGAGTAGGTTTTAAGTTTAATCTAGCCTCAGATACTATACACATATCTTAAGAGTCTCAGTGTAGCACAATTATTGAGTCAAGAAAACGACAACTAGGCATAATGGTTATGAACAGAAATGAAAGCAAAAGTACTTGAAATTTTGTATATTTTTCCCTTTTTTTAATATTTTCCTCGCATTTAAAGAAGTTATCGTTGCAGGTGTGCTGCAATTAAAGAAATTACAGAAATGAAGCCTGAAATCAATTTGGGCCTCGACGAGATTCGAACCCAGGCCTCCGAGATTCTAGTTGAGCACCACCACCAACTAGATAGATTCCATGTCGCCGTGATTCTGGACAGGGGGGACCTTAAGCAAACCAAGACGGCGACCGCAACGAGGACGAGGTAAGACAAAAGATCTAATGGGCAGAACAATAGCCAGCATGTGCGTTTTAAAACTTTCTACATTTCTTAGCCGTCTTTTGCAAAACAACAACCTGAAATCACCAAAATTTGCGTCGTCTGCGAACGGACACCGCAACGGCAAATTAGTGTAATTTCCATTTGGAACTCAACGCTGCTAATATACGTTATGCTGAAGTTGAGGTGTGGCGCCGTAAGAGATGGTAAGTAAACACATGCAGCCAGTTTCGAAATTCTAATTAAAAGCAGAAATAAATTTTTTAATCGACGTTTTCTATGGTGCTGCCGTTCTGACTGCTTAAGTTCCCCAGTAAAGAAGTTCACAGACGGCGTCAAAATTTAGCGAAAAATATCGTGTCATCTGTGATCTATCAAACACCCACAGCAATGTATTTTGGAATCCATTTGTTAGATTGTACATTGCACATACTTAAAGGCAGCCATCATTCCCATATATGAACGATAGACTGAAAAGTACGCAGCAATAAGTTTACACAGACATCATATCTGTTAAAAACAGGTACACAGTTTGCCATGAGCAAAGCAACGAGGTAACCTTGAAGGAGGAATAGAAAGGTAACCGCTTGAAGGAATAAAAAAAGCATATTGGCAAATGGTGGCAACTGCATTATCATCATTTAAAAATTTATCATGCGAAACAAATAAAAGAAAGTATTTACATCCTAACAGTAAACATCTGCGGTTTCGAGAAAGAAAGGGTATTTATTTCACCAACTTGGTTGAAAGTATAGCAGAAAGCAATTCCCAATACAAAATCTACTGAATTTCCAGTTAGTAGAACCCCAACAAATCATATTTTTCCCTGAATTACTTATAGACCTGAGTCAAATCTTCTAAAAGAAACAAAGAATTAAAACAAGCATAAAACCAATGTCATTTTTTCCACGGCCAAAGCGCAGCCACAGACGCAGCTGCTGAACTGACCAGGCTCGCGGCTGTCGCGGGCTCGTCCGTTTTCTGGCTACCTTCTGACGACTTGGACTGCGACATAGTCCCTTGGTGAGTGGATGAGTCTGTCGTGTGGACCAAGTTGGCGGGCAGGTTTTCCCACTCGGCATCTGATTCACTGTTCGCGTCTTCCGAAGCTGAGTAGTTTTGATCACTGGAATCAGAGTCGTCCTTTTCGCTGCTAATTGGTATCAACTCGGGATGACACTCAAACGGGCCTCCCCTATGACATGAATTGCACCTCTGTCATTCATGCTTTTTACAACAACGCTAACCGGAGCAAAAATAACTCGGCTTACCTTTTGGTCTATTTTCGCTTTTTCTTTCTTTTAATGTGTTAAGGGCGGGGGGATG